TTTCCATCTGTTTCTCAATTCTTCTGCATTTTGTTTGCAAAGGAACCTTGCTCAAACCTTTTATGCATTCATTTGATGGAAATTTACCAAGCATCTTCTATGTGCCAGGTTCTGGAACTAAGCACTATGAATAAGACAAAGGCTCTGCCTGTATGAAGTTTCTATTAAAAAATCAAAGAGAGTCCATGTCAGGGGGGCAATAAGTGCTAGTAAATAACATTAGGCAGGGTAGATGGAGTGTGTGAGGGTGGAGAGGTGTCAATTACATAATTCTAAAAGAGAAAGAACCCATACAAAATGTAACATTGACACTAGTATCACACTTAAAACATTTAACAAGAATTTCTTAATTCCCTATATTACCAGTTTTCATATCCCTCCACTGTTTTACATATTTTGTTTGCTTGTATGATAGAAACCTAATTTAGAGTCTGATTCAAACAAATCTTCTAGTCTATAGACTCCCCATCCGTTTCCTGTCTTTGTTTTTGTTTCTTGCAGATTTTTGTTAAAATGAGCAGGTCATTTGTCCTATGGAATTTCACAAGGTCTGGATTTTGCTGATTGTATCCCTGTGTTAGCCTTTAACCTGTTGGGAGGCGCCTTTTTCAGTGCGTTGTGGATGTGACAATTGACCAGAGACCTGAGTGAATAAAGCCAGCAAGTGATTTCTGCAGAAAACTAAGGGTATAAGGGTCTATGTCAGCTTCCATTTTTCCTTAGTTTAACTTCTCTGAGTCTCAGTTTCTGAAAGTCCATTCTTTTTTCATGTAAGTGCCCTTCCTGCTATGACAAGTAACCCAGCTGCCTTCATCAATTTGGCAATGAAATATTTGTGGTTAAAGAGCTTAGCCTTTAAAACAGGAAACAACCCAAATATCTATCAACAGAATGAAATGAAACAGAGCAGCATATTCATACAATGGAATACGACTCAGTGATGAAAAATGAAGGGACTCCTAATTCAAGTAGGATACACGTGGGTCAGTCTCAGAAACTCCACGTTGAGTGAATGCAGCCAGGCACAAAACAGTACACGTAATACAATGCCATTTATGAAGTTCAAGAATAGGAATAACTAATCTATGGCAATAGACATCAGAACGGTACTTTCTTTGGGGATGATGACTAAAAAGAGACCTTAGAGGACTTTCTGGAATGATGGAGATGTTCCCTGTCTTGACCTGGACGGCAGTTGCATAGATGTACAGGGACATAACTCATCATGCTCGCTTAAAATGTATGTAACTTCCTGTATGCAAATCATACTTAGAAAAATTAAAAATGACAAAGCAGGTGAACTATGGATTCTGGTAGACCCAGGCCCTAGTTAATTGTTTATTAACCTTTATCAATTCTCTTAACTTCTTAAGACCTCATTTTCTTCAGCTTAAAATGGGACTCATACAATCCACTTCTTTCATATTGCTGCCAAGCAGTTAGCAGAGTCTGACATAGAGGAAGACCTGAAAAAAATAAGCTGTGTCATCCTAGTATCCCTCCCTCAATCCTTGGGAAACTCAGGATGACCCCAGCAGACTCTGGTACATCTCAGTTCTATGCCACCTCTATTAGGCTCACTGAAAGACTGAGATTTGGAACATGTTCATTAATGCTATGGGCATGACCTCCCAGTGCTGTGCTTTTAACACGTTGCTTTTATTTGATCTAATTGCAGCCACACTGTGGTTCATCACGAAATTTTATGGCAAGCTTGAAGAAGTCAATGGGTCCCTCCTATGCATTGGGCAGCATGGCTGCCAGTACCTATCAGGCCTTCCATAACTGGAGTTTGCTGAAAAAAAAAATCCTTTTAATCTGCAATTTTTTCTCTTGAGAACAGTCTTGGAAATGTTGTTGTCAAACACTTGCAATCATTCATTAATTCATCAAAAAAAATCACAGCTTTTTGGGAAGTGTCATTGCAAAACAGATTTCTTTCTGTTTCCTTTTTTTGCTTTTGATCCCTGAAGTTTTTGTTGAAGCAAAAGGTTATTTGTCATGCCTGGATCCACAGTATGGAGTTTACTGCCCCCATCTCTGCTCGGCTGAGTTCCCATTTTCCTTTAGGTTTATAGCTCCCTTGATGACATCATGGTCCAATTCCGGAACTTTTCAGTTACGTCTGGTTACCAGAACAGTTCATTCCAAGGTATAATACTTAGTATTTTTGTTCAACATTTTAAAAATTGACTAAGTGTATTGAAGTATAAAAGACATACAGAAAAGTACACAGATCACAGATGTACAGCTCAATGAATTTGCATAAAATGAACACATCTGTGTTAACTCTATTCAGATCAAGAAACAAAACACCAAAATCTTAGAAACCTTTTTGTGCCCCTTTGCTATAATTCACTACTCTACACCCGATAGCCACTATCTTAACTTCCAGAACCATCGCTTGATTTTGCTGCTTTTGATATTTCACATGAATGGAACCCAATGGTGTGTCTATATTCATGCATCTGGCTTTACCCACTCAACATTTTGTTTATATTGCTGTGTTGTTATAGTTTGTTCACTCTCATTGCCATATAGTATTCCACTAAAGGTTCTACTACATTTAAATTTTCTACTCTTCTCATTCTTCATTTAAAAATTTACCCTGAAGCACAATTCAGAGATTAAAGGCAGGCCAGTACTGTGGCCCCCAGCTGCTTAAAGTTGGGAATGCATGGGGTCTTCTTTTAAGACTATCTCAATCCCATTTACAATAGCATTAAAAGATACTCAGGAATAAATTTCACCAAGGAGGTGAAAGATCTCTACACTACAAGTTATAAAAAACTTAAGAAAGCAATTGAAGGTGACTCAAATAAATGGAATGATATCTCTGTTCAAGAATTGGAAGAATTAGTATTTCTAAAATGTCCATACTACCCCAAGCCATCTGTAGATTTAATACAATCCTTATGAGATTCCAATGATTTTTTTTTTTTTTTACAAAATAGATAAAAACAATCCTGAAGTTTGTATGGAACCACAACAGACTAGGAATAGCCAAAGAAATCCTAAGAAGAACAAAGCTAGAGCCATTACATGTCCTGGTTTTTAACTATATTACAAAGCTACTACAATCAAAAGAGTATGGTATTGGCATAAAAACAGACATATAGATCAACAGAACAGAATCAAGAGCCCAAACATAATCTCGTGTATTTATGGACAATTAATATTTGACAAGGAAACTAAGAAAAAACAGTGGAGAAAAAACAGTCTTCATTCCCAGCATAAATTCGGGGAAAATCAAATATTCACATTCAAAAGAGTGACACTAAATCCCTTTAAAGCACTCACAAAAATTATCTTAAAATGAATTAAAGATTTAAAAGTAAAACCCCAAACTGTAAAACTCCTAAAATAAAGCATAGGGAAAAAGAGCTTCCTGACATGGGTCTTGTCAATGATGTTTTTGGATATGACACCTAAAGCACAAGCAACAAAAAATAAACAAGTGAGCATCTTCCCTGGTGGCTCAGTGGTGAAGAATCCTTCTGCTAATGCAGGAGACATGGGTGGGATTCCTGATGTGGGAGGATCCCACATGCCATAGAGCAACTAAACCCAGGTGCCACAACTACTGAACCTGTGCCCTAGAGCCTGGGAGCAGCAACTACTGAAGCCCAAGCACCCTAGAGCATGCACTCTGCAACAAGAGAAGCCACAACGAGAACCCTGCGCACCACAGCTAGAGAGTAGCCCCCGCCCGCAACAGCTAGAGAAAAGCCCATGTGCAGCAGTGAAGACTCCGAACAGCAAAAATAAATACAATTAATTACATAAATAAATAAACAAGGAGGGGGCACATCTGACTGAAACACTGCTTCTTCCCTGGTGGCTCAGTGGTGAAGAATCCTTCTGCTAATGCAGGAGACATGGGTGGGATTCCTGATGTGGGAGGATCCCACATGCCATAGAGCAACTAAACCCAGGTGCCACAACTACTGAACCTGTGCCCTAGAGCCTGGGAGCAGCAACTACTGAAGCCCAAGCACCGTAGAGCATGCACTCTGCAACAAGAGAAGCCACAACGAGAACCCTGCGCACCACAGCTAGAGAGTAGCCCCCGCCCGCAACAGCTAGAGAAAAGCCCATGTGCAGCAGTGAAGACTCCGAACAGCAAAAATAAATACAATTAATTACATAAATAAATAAACAAGGAGGGGGCACATCTGACTGAAACACTGCTGCACAGCCAAAGAAACCACCGACAAAATGAAATGGCAATCTATACAATGGGAGAAAATACTGCTAGTCACAGACCTAACAAATGGTTATTACACAAGATATATAAAGAACTCTAACAACTCAACAGCAAAAATATAAGTAATCCAATTTAAGAATGGAAATATAGATGAACTTTGAGGGCATTGAGAAATAAGTCAGAGAGACGAATACAGTGTGATCTCATTTACATGTGAAATCTAAATATATATAATTGAATCACTTTACAACTGACACTAACACAATACTGTAAAAAACCAAAACACACATAAGAACAAAAACAAAAACTTCAATGTAAAAAAATACTTATAAGAAACAGAGATCAAATTTATGGTTTCTAGCATCAGAAGGTGGGGAATAGGGCTGGAAGAACTGAGTTTAAAGTGGTCAAACTTACAGTTATAAGATAAGTAAGTCCTGGGGATATAATATACATCGTGTCTATAGCTAACAGTACTATTGCTAAAATATACAAAATTTTATATATTTGAAAATTGCTAAAAGAGTCCATCTTAAAAGTTCCCAACACAAGCCAAAAAAAATGTTGTGAGGATGTGAAAGGATGGATGTTAACAGCTTATTGTGCTGACCATTTTCACAGTACAAGCATGACAAATCCTTACGTTGTATATTTGACTTATGTTTTATGTCAACTGTATCTCAATAAAACTAGAAAGAATAGCAAGAGACGACCTCATCCCCACCCTCTTAGGTGTGGGCTTCTTCAGGGTTGAAGCCTGAAAGAGGGAGGGAGGAGGCAGTGGTCTCCTTACCTGCATGTCTACATGTTATTGCTGGCAGAGCATCCCTGGCGTTGCTGCTTCCCGGTGGCGCCATGAGACGCTGGTCATCTCTGCTATCACAGTGACCACCACAAAGGTGACTGTGTTGAGCTTTCCCCCGTCCCTCTCCAATGAGAAGAATTTCTCCCAAGGGGTAGCTATGTCTCTTTCTGGCACCAACAGCAATGCAGGGTGACCATGACTTTTCCATGTTGGACATCCTGTTGTGTGAGCCACTGGCCTCCTGGACAAGTCCTACAGGTCCTTCTCAGACTCTGACCTCCAAGCTTTTCCATGCAGAGCTGCAAGAAGAGGTGGTGTCCTCACCTTCCAACTTCAGTGAGGAACAGAGCTTGTCCTGGAGTTGCCCCACCTTTGTCCAACCACGTACACCATGGCCCCTTCAAACTCTGCTGTCATGGGCAATCTCTAGACTAGACGCAGGCACAAGGCTCCTCGCTCAAGTTCACCCTGAAACTTCTCAGCACTCTTCTGTCTAGTGGCTCCATTAGGGGTGCCTATTAGCTTTGGCAGTTCGCAAACAAGCTCCGCTCCTTGGAGGCTTTGCTAATGATCACAACTGGGAGAAGAGGAGAAGCCTTCACTGTTACTATTTTAGTACACACAGTTGCCAATTGCTGGCACCTGAATCCCTCTGCCTGCAGGTTTTCTGTGACTACTGGAGCCCACTTGCCCAAGCCTGCAGCAGGCTGAAATTGACAAGGGATTAACACTCCAGGATCAGCTCCTTAATTAATGGCTATCCAGAGCTGGGGAGTAAATACCCCAGCCTCTTATCTGGAATCTCTGAGGGCATGTTTTTCCACTGATATTTTACTATAAAGACACCCTTTAAGGGGCTGCCTTCCCTTCCCCCCTCCCTACTCCACCCCCCCATCCAGGGTTTCCTAGAGTTCCCTACAAATAAACTACTTGCAATAACAGTCTTGTTTTCAGGGTGGAGGGTGGTTGTCAAGGCAAACTCAAGCTAAGAAAACCCAGAATTCTCTTGCAATCCCCCTTGCTTGGCTTGAGAAAGGGGAAAGAAATGTCCGGAAGTCTAGTGAGGATAGAATAGCTTTTAAAGAAGGAGAAGGAGGAAGAGGAAAAAAAATGAGTTTCCCCTACTTAGAGTCTTTTGTTACTTCTTTCCTAGGCTGGTCCTAATGTCCAGTCTTTTAGGCTTCTCTAAGCCACCAAGGATTCACATTCTCATTTTTCTTCATCTTCCACCAGGGACCACTCAGTGGAGCTTAGAATATTCTTGCTTCCCCTTCCCAGTCCTGGATGGCTGCCTCCTAAAAACAGAACAGTTCTTGGCACCCCTAGCAAAGCAAGGGCCTACAAATCGCTCCACTAATGGTCTCTGCTGGGATTTCAGAGACAGACTTCCATTGTAAGATTTCTGGGTCAGAAAATTCTGCCAAACTCCTAAATATCCCTCCTGTTGTAAAGCAGGAGAGACCACAATTCTAAATACTCAGGTTTCAAGTTCATATCTGCCTCTACCAGGTCCTCTTGGAAACAGTGAGGTTCACTGATTTGGCACAATTTCAACATGATTTGATTTGCAGGTGGCTGGGGCTACAGCAGGGGTCCCCAACCTCCGGGCCATAGACCGGTACCTCCTGTCAAATCAACAGCATTAGGTTAGAAATAAAGTGCACAGTAAATGTAATGCACTTGAGTCATCCCCAAACCATCCCCCCTCCCTCCCCAGTCCATGGAAAGATTGTCTTTCATGAAAATGGTCCCTGGTGCCAAAAAGGTTGTGGTTTATTCGGGGTACAGCATTAGGCAGAACCCTCCTCTGCATTCTTGATAGAGGGTCTGAGGTTGGGCATCTGGAGTTCAAGGATCCCTGAATACTGCCGGCAAAACTGCCTATGTATTTGTTCACCTGCATTCTCAGTAGGTTCATAGCTTCCGAAAACTTCTCAAAGTGGCCTAGGACCCTGTATGTTCATTACTCCCTGTTGGAAGGAGAGTTGATTAGGCAAAAAATTAGTATTTTTTTTCTGGCTTCCAGTGTTTCTAGACCAGCTTTACCAAGTAGATACCTGTAACCCAATTGTGTCCAACTGACCTTGTAGCTGGGTTTTACACCATCAGTTTTCAGTTCAGTGACTCAGTCATGTCTGACTCTTTGCGACCCCATGGACCACAGCACGCCAGGCCTCCCTGTCCATCACCAATTTCTGGAGTTTACCCAAACTCATGTCCATTGAGTTAGTGGTGTCATCCAATCATCTCATCCTCTGTCATCCCCTTCTCCTCCTGCTTTCAGCATTAGGGTCTGCCTTTCCCAGCATCAGGGTATTTTCAAATGGGTCAGCTATTTACATCAGGTGGCCAAAGTATTGGGAGTTTCAGCTTCAGCATCAGTCCTTCCAATGAACACCCAGGACTGATCTCTTTTTCTTAGCTTTCTTTATAGTCCAACTCTCACATCCATACATGACCACTGGAAAAACCACAGCGCTGACTAGAGAGACCTTTGTTGGCAAAGTAATGTCTCTGCTTTTTAATATGCTTTCTAGGTTGATTATAACTTTCCTTCCAAGGAGTAATCGCCTTTTAATTTCATGGCTGCAATCACCATCTGCAGCGATTTGGGAGCCCAGAAAAATAAAGTCAGCCACTGTTTCCCCAAATATTTGCCATGAAGTGATGGGACCGGATGCCATGATCTTAGTTTTCTGAATGTTGAGCTGTAAGCCAATTTCTTCACTCTCCTCTTTCACTTTCATCAAGAGGCTCTGTAGTTCTTCCTCACTTTCTGCCATAAAGGTGGTGTCATCTGCATATCTGAGGTTGCTGATATTTCTCCTGGCAATCTTGATTCCAGCTTGTGCTTCCTTCAGCCCAGCATTTCTCATGATGTACTCTACATATAAGTTAAATAAGCAGGGTGACAATATACACCCTTGACATGCACATTAAATATATACACATAGCTTGTTGGGATCTGGACTGGTTGTGACAAGACAGTCATTAGGTTAGTTCCCAGGAGTGGGATTAGAGGGAGGTAAGAAGACCTTCCCTCCTAACTTAACCCATTTCTACAGTTTGAAGTTTCAAAATAGCAGTGTTTTAGGGCTTTAGTAATTTTAGACAAACCAGGAAAATAAATAAAATAATAAACCATATTACGTGTCAAAGGGCCTGCAAAAAAAATATTAAAAGAAAACAGATTGTCATGGATTTCTTCTTGTGGTCAGATGCAAATAGTGAAAATTGAGACATGTGTGGAGGATTCTTTGCCCCTGATTTCAAAGCACCCTCACTCAGGCTGATTCTCTCTGAGAATGAACACAGCATGGCCACCCACCTCTGATTCATAAAGTGTAAGGTTTGCTTTTCCAGCACATTTAAGTCAGCATTCCCCTGGGACATACAGCAAGGGGCTGGATGCTGGTTTTCCCCTTCTCTCCCCTAAAACAGGGTTGGATAAAGATGACACTCAGTCCTGCTCTGCATGGAAGGTCAAAGTGAGGACAGGCAGAATGGGCCAAAATCAGCAAACTTCCAACGTCTGGCCAGTTGGTACACCTGGCCAGGCTTTTAGCTGTTAGTGAAGAAGTCCACCAATTAGACTCCTTTTTTTCCAGACTCTAAACTTTCTCATTAGTCAAATATATCCACCCATCTTATCCAGCTTTTTCTGAGAAACACTTTTTAAAATCCAAGCAGAACAGAAGATAATTCTAAGCCGAGCAGAAAAGCATAACTTCACTCTCTTCCTGCCTGGCATCCTCTGCATTTCCCTAGTACCTGACATAACCTGCCCTAGACCAGTGCTCCATCTTCTGTACCATTTCCATCATTCTTGGGTCCAGACGGCAGGAGTCAGACCAACCCTACTGCCTAAGATCTGGTTAACAAGACCTCAGAGAACTTTGAGCCCGCTGGCAACACCCCAGACACCCCAGGGCAGAGATTCTCACTTTGGGGTGACTTGTAACCCAGGAGATGTCTGGAGATATTTTCGGATGTCACATTGTTAGGGGGGAATATTGGCATCTGCCAAAGCCTTTGACTGTGTGGATCACAATAAACTGTGGAAAATTATGAAAGAGATGAGAATACCAGACCACCTGACCTGCCTCTTGAGAAACCTGTATGCAGGTCAGGAAGCAACAGTTAGAACTTGACATGGAACAACAGACTGGTTCCAAATTGGAAAAGGAGTACATCAAGGCTGTATATTGTCACCCTGCTTATTTAACTTATATGCAGAGTACATCATGAGAAATGCTGGGCTGGATGAAGCACAAGCTGGAATCAACCTCAGATATACAGATGACACCACCTTTATGGCAGAAAGTGAAGAACTACAGANGCTGAAGCTGAAACTCCAATACTTTGGCCACCAGATGCGAAGAGCTGACTCATTGGAAAAGACCCTGATGCTGGGAAAGATTGAAGGCAGGAGGAGAAGGGGATGACAGAAGATGATATGGTTGGATGACATCACCGACTCAATGGACATGGGTTTGGGTGGACTCCGGGAGTTGATGGACAGGGAGGCCTGGCATGCTGCAGTTCATGGCGTCGGAAAGAGTCGGACATGACTGAACTACTGAACTGAACTGATTGGCATCTGGTTAATGTAGGCCAGGGATGATGCTAAACATCCCATAATGCACAGGACAGTTCCTCCAAAACCAGAATAATCTGGCCGCAAATATCTGTAGTGCTGAGGTTGAGAAACCCTGCCCTAGAGTCTTGCTACACAAAGGACTGTCCACGGACCAGCAGCATCGACATCCCTTGGGATGTATCTCATGTGAGGATAGGCTAGTGTGAGGGTCAGCAAACTTGGTAAAGAGGCAGATAGTAAATATTGCAGGTTTGAGAGACAGACAATCTCAGCTATAACTATTCAAGTGTAACTACTCAGCTAGGCATTTGTAGCATGGAAGCAGTCCCACAGAAGTGCCTTCCACTTTGCTCACATTTTATTGGCCAAAACAAACCACATGCCTATGATAGTTTCAAGCGGGAGGGGATCTGTGCCCAGAAAGACAACAATTCCTAATGACTACCCAGATCCTCCTTCTCGGAAATCCTAGCCCTGTGCCTGTCTATCATTCCATCAAGGATTTAAATAGACTTTGGCAGAGTTACATCCTAAGTTTAGCCTGGATCATTCAGTGATGACCTCATACCCTCCTCACACTTTTCTTAGGAAAAACAGCACAAACATGGACTTGAGTGTCTGTTCTGTGCCAGGCACTGAGCACTTAACATACCTCACACCTTTCCACCCTCAAAAGAGTTTCAGGAGGTGGGTGTCACC